GTTTGCCTGGCTTACTTTAAGATACTATTAAAACCCAGGCTTTTCAATCAATTAACAATTACTGTCAATAGTTATATACCTGTAAACATTTGAATTAGCAATATGTGATCTTTTTTTTTTTTTTTTAGAGAGTATATGTGTATAGTTGTAGAGGCAGCTTATGCATAAGCAAAGAAAAGCTTCATGAGGTTTGGTGTCTTTCATTGGAGAGTGTAGGTGACTAGCCTAGTATTGTTTGTTGGTTTTTTTTTGTTTTTTTTTTGTTTTTAATGTTTCTGTTCTGCCTCATTGGGTAGCTCCCGTGGTCTTAAAAGTTTGCAAGCGGCCATTCAAGGTACAATAATTGGACTCCATTTGCCTGGAGCAGCAGAGAAATCGGAACGGTTTCTATATGAAATTGCCTATATGAACAACTACCTCCTTGTTCCCTGTGGCTGAAGGAAGGCATGATGCCCTGGTACCACATTTCTATACAGAAGCCTGATCAAAAAGGGAGAAATACAGAACAGATTTCTAATTTCTTATACACCCCAGTCTTTGAGGTTGGATAAACTTCCAAAACTGTTGTCCTGGGATACATTCAACTAAAAACATACTCCGAAGTCTACTTTAAATCACCTAACAAGTAGTTTATTTAGTGAGCAATGTTCGCCTTGAACATCATCCTCTTTTAAGCAACTGTCTACCTTACAAGAGATCAAGCTGACAATTGCACCTTGTCGGGCCACTAGGAAGCTTGGGGGACAGTGCATTTGTGTAATTGGGGGAGAGGAAATTGTAAAAGGTGGGTGCCACTTGATCGCCCAGCTTGCAGAATATAATTAATAACATTGAAATGTACATGTAAAAATTGCTGAACTATTATGTGGTTTGCTATATATACTTTCAACAATTTAAAAATACTTTAAAATTGAGGGAAAAACAAGCTTTTCCTGAGAAAGCCATTTTATATCCGAGTTAAAAAGTTAATAGTATGATTTGGTAATACAAAGGAGCAAAGTTTGGATACATGCTACAATACGAACGATCTTGAAAAGGCTACATGAAATGAAGAAAACCTACTGCATGGAGTCTATTGCAACTCATAACTCACTGCCATCGCGTTCATTCAGACTCAGCACCCGCACTGAGGGTTTCCTAGGCTATACATCTTTCTTTTTTCCTAATCATTTTACTGGGGGCTCGTACAGCTCTTACTACAATCCATCCATCCATTGTGTCAAGCACATTTGTACATATGTTGACATCATTTTCAAGACATTTTCTTTC